TTCATTTATTTTTGATTTTCTCAGTCAAAATAATTTTCAATTGATCACAAAACAAACAACTAAACAAAGCTAACAATAATGCAAGAAAAAATGCAGGTCCTAATATTTCAAATAATTGTAATGCATAAGTTTTTTTTTTTATAATAATGTTGTCAAAAAATAGGGGAGGGGGGGGCGCTTAGTTATTCATTCATTCATTTTAATCCCCTTTTCCGGAACCGTGTCACGGGGGCAGCAGTCTCAGGAGAGAACCCCAGACTTCCCAGATAGTTCCTCCAGCTCCTCCAGGGGCATCCAGAGGCTTTCCCAGGCCAGCCGAGAGATCTAGTCCCTCCAGCGTGTCCTGGGTCTTCCCTGAGGTGTCCTCCTGGCGGGACATGCCTGAAACACCTCCCTGGGTGTCCAGGAGGCCACCGAAACACATGCCCAAGCCAATTCAGCTGACTTCTCTCAATGTGGAGGAGGAGCGGCTCTACTCCGAGCTCCTCCCAGGTGACAGAACTCCTCACCCTATCTATAAGGGTGCTCCCATGCCATCCTGCGAAGGAAACTCATTTCGGCCTCTTGTATCTGAGATCTTGTCCTTTTGGTAATAACCCAAAGCTCATGACCCTAGGTGGGAATAGGAACGTAGAATGATCAATAAATTGAGAGCTTTGCCTTTCGGCTCAGCTCCATCTTTACCACAACATAACAGTACATCGACCGCATTACTGCTGCCGCTGCACCAATCCGCCTGTCAATCTCACGTTCCAACCTTCGACCACCACCCATTGGCTTACCACCAGGTTGCTTAGTGATTTCCGAAAATTGAATACATTTTTAAAACCATTATAATTTACCATATTTTATCCATAACCTTCTCAAAATAAAAATTGTACACTCTCAGAAATAAAGCTACAGGAGCTGTCACTGGGGCAGTATCTTTTTAATAGATACATATTTGTACCTAAAGGGTCTATAATGGTAGCTCAAAAGTACTTTTTAGGTACATTTGGGGACTAAAATTCACCTTTGAGGTACCACTATGGACACTCTGCGTACAAATACGTATCTTTCAAAACCTTTACATGCACCTTTATTTCTGAGAGTGTAGTTACAGCCTTTTGATTGATTTATTTCTTGATTAGATTGTGACCCTTGGGGTGATATAAAAGACACAGCAATAGCGTCAGATGCAGCAGATTGATTTCATGGCACCAGGTTAAACTTTCTGGCACATTTACAGCACTCTCATACATTAAAAAATAAATAAACGAAGAGTAGTTGTGGGCCTCTTGGTGTGAGTGTGCCATGCATCCAAGGTTTCTATATTTATAACCACCAATATATGATATTGGGAGTTACGAGTCAGTTGTTATTTTGGGGGTCGTGAGCTGAAAAGGGATTTGGGATCTCCTGTTCTAAGAGACTGGCTCTGACAGATATTCACCTGAGCAATCATTAGTATGCAATTGGATGTTGAATAACGTTATTGAAACGCATATGTGCTAAACACATAGTTGCAAGCCTACAATTAGTATGTGAAATTCAGGTATTAAGACGTGATGATTGTTTAACACTTTTATTTTGTACGAAAATAAGAATAATCCATTGGTGCTGGAGGTCTAATGTTCTGATCAAGATGATGTTCACCGCTTTCACCCTGCTATCTAATCTTGTGAGCAACACTTTCACTTGTCCTTGTAAATCCACATCTCCCAGCAAAGTAAAACATGCACCCGTCCATTCGGGACGTCTGGAGGTCACTGTGTGTGTTAATGTTATGGACGTATGGAACTTTGAGTTTGCGTCGCTGTCTTTTCTACTCATCCTACCTGTAACCGGTCACTCTTTTTATTCATAGCCAAATAAGAGGCGGGGCTTCCTGTGTCTGTGTGCCAATCACAGACCTGCGGGGTCCTGGTCTGATGGTCGCCCGGCGTGGTTTTATACATGCACATTTTTTTAAAGAACTTTTTTTTTTTGGTTTGTTTTTCCTCATTGGTTGATTTGTGTATAAAGAGGCAAAAAGTTCTGTCACTAATATGCCACTCTATTCTAAATAAAACCTGATTGGTTATCTCTGTAGCCGCTGTCATTTCATTGGTTAACTTGGCTGGTGTTCTTGCTATACACTTTATGGTTAAATAAAAGGGCAGCTGTGGTTGCCAGTACTTTATTCATTCAGTCTTTCAGCTTAGTCACTTATTTATCAGGGGTTGCCACAGCAGAATGAACCGCCAACTTGTACAGCATGTGTTTTACACAGCGGATGCCCTTCCAGCTGCAACCCAATACTGGGAAACACCTATACACATTGGCATTCACACACTATGGCCAAAGTCATTCATTCATCTTCCTTTGGCTTAGTCCCTTTATTCATCAGGGGTTGCCACAGCGGAATGAACCGCTAACTCATCCAGCATATGTTTTACACAGCGAATGCCCTTCCAGCTGCAACTCAATACTGGAAAACACCAATACACCCTCGCGTTCACATACTATGGCCCATATCAATCATTCATTCACTCATTTTCCTTCGGCTTAGTCTCTTTATTCATCAGGGGTTGCCACAGCTGAATGAACCGCCAACTTATCCAGCATATGTTTTACACAGCGGATGCCCTTTCAGCTGCAACCCAATACTGGAAAACACCCATACACTCTTGCATTCACACACTACGGCCAAATTCATTCATTTTGCTTTGGCTTAGTCCCTTTATGCATCAGGGGTTGCCACAGTGGAATGAACCGCCAACTTATCCAGCATAATCTTACACAGGTGATACCCTTCCAGCTGCAACCCAATACTGGGAAACACCCATTCGCTCTTGCATTCAAACACTACAGCCAATTTCATTCATTTATTCATTTTCCCTCAGCTTAGTCCCTTTATTCATCAGGGGTTGACACAGTGGAATGAACCACCAACTTATCCAGCATATGTTTTACACCGTGGACGCCCTTCTGGCTGCAACTGGAAAACATCCATACATACTCATTCACACACACTACGGCCAATTTAGTGTCTGTGGGGGAAACTCACACCAAACCAGAGAAAACTTGCAAACTCCATGCAGAAATGCCAACTGGCCCAGCCGAGACTCAAACCAGCAACCTTCTTGCTGTGAGGAGACAGTGCTAACCACTGAGCCACCATGCCACCCAGTATTTTATTGTTAAAAAAAATCAAACCATAAAATGAAATGTCATTTTTACGGTAAACAACTGTGTTTTCTGAAATTATAATCTTAATACACCAATGTTTTGTACAAGTATCTACAGTACTAATACTACACGTTACAGTACTAATATCTACACATTATATTCTTTGTTACACAGACGAGAACACAAGCATATGGTTATGACAAAGTCATATAACGAACATATACTCTTATCAAAAAACATTTAGCATGATCAGAGAAACATACTAATATTTGGAAGATGCTACTGAACACTATTATGGTCACACATAAAAATTAAAGCAATGGAACAAATGTTATTTATCAACATTAGATGTAACACAACTGTATAGAAATGATAGGGAAACACCTAAAAAGAAGCATAGTAATGTCAACAAAAAGTATAAAAAGCAAAGTGTCATGCAGGGAATTTTGGGAAAATTAAATTTACGGTTATTCACTGTATATATATGATAAGGATACTTTCTGTTAAGCAGGTTATGGAGTTTTTTACACTATGGGGATTTTGTTGCAACACTTAAATTAACAATGTGTTAAAAAAAAAAGATTTTTAGCTTTTAGTAAAATTATATCGCATTAGTAAAATTTTAGTGCATTAGAAATGTAAATAAACTAAAAACAATTAATTAAAACAAAAATAAAGAGAAAAAACAGGTAAATGATATAGAATTTTAAACAGTTGTTTTATGCTGTGCAAACATTCACCTCCGATTTTTATTGTTATTTTTGCATATGCAGTGTTTTTTCACAAGTAGAGATAAAAGAAGAGACAGTTTATTTGCCTGGAGTAAAAAGTTGGGTTTAGAGCAATGATAACTGGCTTAACCACAATGTGAGAATTCAAGATAAATAGTATGCATTTGACCTACACAATATTGGAAAAATCTGAACATATAGTGCAATGTTTTTTTTCCTGCAACATTGCAACATGTATACAATTTTATCATATTAGACAATATGAAATTTTGTTAGAATGAGCATTTTTACATGCTATATTTCTAATGAATAACCCAGTGGACACTGCAGTAATTTCCAGAGTCTAAAGGGCCGTAAGGCTGTTTTGTTTATTTAAATAATCCTGAACTACAATTGATATTATACTGAACAGTAGTAGTAGTAGTAATAATAATAATAATAATAGTAATAATAATAAAAATGCAGAACTACAATATTAAGGAACTGAATTAAATTTTATTAAAATTTCCCTTTAGTTGAACTAACATAGAAATCTATAATCCACCAAAATAACAAATTAACATTGATCAAATTGGAGTTTTTTATTATTAAAATTCTAGAAACACATTTATATTGAAATTAAAATAATTTATATATATATATATATATATATATATATATATATATATATATATATATATATA